GGGACCTTGAAGGTCGTCTGGTTCCGACTGTTCTGCTATGGGCAGGGACAACCATCGCTTGTTCAGGTTGCTTAGAGCCAAGTATCCAACCCAGTATCCAACCTGGGTTTGAACTCTTCCAGGGATGGGACAACCACAACTTCACTGTTAACCTGATCCAATGCCCCACCACTCTTACAATAAAGAATTTTTTCCTAATATCTAATCTGAACGTACTCCTTGCATGAACCTGTCTCCCCTTGACCTGTCACTGCATGCAAACAGTTTAGCCCCATCTTTCCTGTAAGCTCCCTTCAGGTGCTGTAAGGGTGCCGGTAGGTCACCCCTAGGCCTTCTCTTTCACTGGCTGCACAATCCCTGTTCTCTCAGCCTTTTCTCATGGGAGAAATGCTTTATCAGCTTGGTGGCCTCCTCTGGACTCGTTCCAAAAGGTCAGTGCTCTTCCTGTGATGGGGATCCCAGAGCTGGATGCAATCAGGATTGAGGGTGATGCACTGAGCTGCTATCACCAACAAAAGAGTTTAGCTGCAATAATCTGTAAATAAACTGCTCCTGAATCTCGTCTCTCCAGAGAATTTTCCTGCAGGCACATGTTTTGAGGTGTCCCTGAACCGCCAGCTCAGCTGTTTGGCAGACCTGCAATGCATGAAGTAGCAGAATGTGCATTAGGTTGGTGCCAGGTTGCTGGGCTGAGCATCCCTTTTTCTGTGCCTCTCGCTGGGAGCTGTGACACCAACCCTCTGTCCAGGGCCTGGGTGAGAGTTTGCTAGTGTCAGGCTGGGTAGGAGGAGGCCTGAATCCTGCAGAGCCAGGCTGCTGGCCTGGAAAAGCTGCTGAAACCTCACCCGCCGATTGAACACAGCTTTTGGGAGCTTTTATGTTGCACATTTATGTTGTGTTTCACTAGTGGTCCTCTGGCAATCAAAATAATTGTAGTACTGACTAATGCCCTGTGTCCCAGAAGTCTGGAAAACTCTGTGTGTGAGGAATGTAAGAAGGAATATATATATGTATATTTTATTTTTCAGTCTTAGGCTTTTTTTTTTTTTTTCCTATAATCTACATAGTTTAACATTACCAGGTGTCCTGTTGCGTTCTGGTATTGAATAGTGGTAAGTCTGGATCTTGTAAAATAGGATTAAGGATTGAGTAAACTATTAGTCTGACTTGCAGAGTATTTTCTCAGACTAATCTCTTAATGACAGAACAACTGAGAGTTTTATACAGTGGTTCCAGACAAGCTCCTGGCCATACATGTAGTGCTGTGAAACACCTAATTTTTACAGTAGGGAGCCAGGGTGTAGGAATTAATAAATGATCTTGCTCTTAATAAAAGTATTCATTAAAGCATTTGGGCTCCTTGAATGTGCCTGCCATCAAAACACTCATATTGTGGATGGTGCTGTTTGTATTTCTGAGGATGGTGTGACTGTACTGAGTGCATTGAGTTTGCAAAACTTTTCTGCCCTTCTCGGGTTTGTACATCTGGAGCAGAGCTTCAGAT